TCACTTTTGACCAATTTGACCAACAGTATATATCCTAAATATAAAAAGTGAATGGCACCTGTTTTCTTGCTCTTAGCCTGTCGGTTCTCTGTGTGTCTGATCCATCCATGCAGTGCATGTCTTAACAGTTGAAGACAATAGTGACGATGAGCTTTGGACTCCTTCTCTTTCAGAACACAGGCTTGTTTCATCCTGTCTCTCCAGTGCAGCCACGCCTGTGAAGAATAGCCACTTTAGAGATCACTCAATTTCGTCGTACAGTTGCATTCTCACATGTTCATACTCACTCTGCTCTGTACAGTGTGAGCCCAGTGTTGCAAAGCAAGATCTTCTTGATGGTACTCCACATCCCTGTGCTGTAGTGTCATATTCCACACAGTCCAAACCCACCTTTAATGACCAAAATATGCACAAACAAAAATATATCACATTAGCATGTTACTAAAAGGCCATTTTAAAAAATAGGCCTTCAATGTGATATACATGCATTTTTATATATGTTTATATTATATAAATGTACCATATAAATAATTTTTAATTAAATCATTCTAAATAATTAATACTTTTATTCAGCAAGGATGTATTAAATTGAACAAAAGTGACAGTAAAGAGATTCATGTTACAAAAGACTTCTATTTTACATTTACATTTACATTTTGTCATTTAGCAGAGGCTTTTATCCAAAGCGACTTACAAATGAGGACAATGGAAGCAATCAAAATAAATTTTAAATGAATGAAGTTTCTTTCTATTCATCAAAGACACATGAAAAAAAATGTATCATGGTTTCTACAAAATTATCAAAGAGCACAACTGTTTTTGATAATTGAAAATAATAAGAAATGTTTCTTGAGCAGCAAATCAGCATATAAGAATGATTTTTGAAGGATCATGTGACACCGAAGACTGGAGTAATGATGCTGAAAATTCAGCTTTGCCATCTGTAGAGTCTGGACCAATCAGACACACCATTTTTCATTAGATTTAACAAATCAGTTATTCATTAGATTAACAAATAGTCACAGACCCCTCACCCAATAAACATACCGGGTGCCAGAATGTCTGCGAACGACAATAGGCCTCTGATTCCATGGCAACCAATGCTGATATCACTGGTTTTATTGCCCAAAGGAATGTGGGTAGAGAAACTCACTACATTTTCCATAGGAACGCTTGGGATTTCAGCCTTTCTCATTGGACAAGCCCATCTTGAGAGGCGTGAATCTTCTCAGACCTTAAAGGCCTCACATCAGTGACCCGCCTTCAGTCTGTGGTTCTGTTAGATTCTGAGAAGAAGACATGAGCTAGAACGCTTCTGCAACCCGCTAAATTCGTGCCAGGCTTCGGCCTTGACTTTCCATTCACCGGGATTCTCTGACTCAAACTGGTTCTTTTTCATCAACCAACTTCAGCAGCAGTGTGTGTGTGTGTGTGTGTGTGTGTGTGTGTGTGTAGGTGTATGTTAGACTAGTTTAAGTGTTTATGTAGTATGTTAGATTCGTTTAAGTGTTTATGTAGTTAATAAAGTCTTACTTGTATCACACTTGACGTTGTTCATTGTTTGCTCATAACTGGAGTCCCTAATCATGCAGATTTATGCTACAGGCTCTGTGTAGAATTGTACAGTAAGGAAGTTATTTCCCTTAACCAGGAAATTAACGTTCTTAGAATTGACAGAGAGTTGACCCTGAGAGGTCAAGTAAATACTTACAGCGGATCTAAATATTTATAATTAATTATAACTAGTTATGATTAATTATTCATATTTCCCCTTTGAGCTGATTCACTACACATCACAAGAATAAGTTGCATTTTAAATATATATCAAATAGAAAACAGTTACTTTATATTGCAATACTATTATGTTATAATGTGTAATAACAATATTACTGTTTTTACTGTATTTTTGATTAACTGTATTTGACTGACCCCAAACTTTTGAACAGTAGTGTACATATATTTCTGTTTAATAATGTTACTCATTTATTAATATATGTAAAATTATATCAACATATTGACTGATTTATGCTTGTTTACTTGCTTAAATCTTAATATAAAATGTTGTTGTCATAGTCAAGTCTGTTATTTTATGCTACACTCCGACCCTACACCAGGATTGCAACATTGTTTATTATGTATCTGGCTGCTTTACTCTTATGAATGTGACTTGCAATATTTTTCTGACACCACATAAGAGCAATGCTCACTTTAGTACAGCGAGTCTCTCATGCTGCACTGCTGCCTCCTGCATCCTGCGTTTCATGCGACACATGTCCAGGTACAGTTTCCAACCATTCCACACAGAACGTAGTTTGTGCTTTGTCTCTGCAGTACAAATATTCAGTTACAGCTACTATGACATAATACACAACATAATCATCCCCAGTAATGTGAGATAAAACGTTGAAAAGTTAAATGACTTTCTCATTTAAAAACTCATTCAACTCTATAAACTAAAATATTAACAGAATAACAGCCTATATACCGAATCTGATTGCAAGTTGCAGTTTTTTCTTTTCTTCTCTCTGGACAGCAACATACTCCTGCCAGGCTTGAAATGTTTTGCTATACAGCATATACCTAAAATGGGCAAATAAAAAAATTAAATAAAAATAAATAAATAAATTATGGTTGGTGATAATTGATAACAGCACAACTGTTTTTAACGTTGATACTAATAAGAAATGTTTCTTGAGCAACATATCAGCATATTAGAATGATTTCTGAAGGATCATGTGACACTGAAGACTGGAGTAATGATGACTGCTAAAAATTCAGTGCTGCCATCTCAGTAATAAGTTACATTTTAAAATAGAAAACAATTATTTTAAATTGTAATATTTCACCATATTACAGTTTTGACAATTTTTGATTAAATAAATGCAGCCTTGGTCAGCATAAGAGAACTAACTTACGTATAATGGCAGTCTGCCCTTATATTTAGGGTCCATTCCTTTCTTGCATGCCACCACTCATCTTTCCAAGCCACTAAGGTTTTCCTCAAGACCACCTTACAATAATGAGATCTATATATATATATATATATATATATAAAACAATTTTCATGAAATAAACATCATATATCGCACAGTCGAACCACTGCAGCATTTCTTTGTACATTTTAGTGCGCTATTTAAACACATGACCACTATACTGGACCTGGCTTGTGATGTTGTTATTCGTCCAAATGTCTTCTGAATCCACAAGTGAAGGAACTTCCGAGCAAGATGCCTAAATACCCCCAAAAAACAGTCACTTATCATGACATTCACAACATATAAACGAATGGGGGATGCCATTATCTCCTACCTTATCCTAAGCTCTTTAAGTCTACCACCTCGGTTCCAAGTATATCCGACCCGGTAAGTGTTTTTTCGTATGGGTGTTTTGCGTGGTCGGTTCTTTTCTACACCACCAGACAACTGTTTCCCAGCTTTTGGTCTTATCGTTTGCATCTTTAATAGATCATTCAAGCATAAGTTACATAACTTTCAGTCTAGCAGCCAGTGCTTGAACTATAACGTTACTTGGTTGGAATAGAGTAAATAAAGTAGCGTTTAGGGTTTTATAGATTCAACTTAAGGCTTTAACGCTACTGCAGCTCATTATAAAGCTGTCATCTTACTGGCAACAACTAACAACAAACCATAACTGCCGCTCTTCAGTGTTGAATAAATTTTCTTCCGGTAAAATGTCATAATAAAAGACCTGCCTAAAATGGCAACTTGAACATTTTAATAATGCATTTATATTATAATTAATAATAATAATAATACTAATGCAGTTGTGTTACAGTAATATTAATACAGATATTTTAAAATAATGCAGTTATATTAAATTGGTTTAATTTATTAAATACATTACTGACGCATCCTGTAGAACTGGTCTTTTATGTCTTTACTGTACACAGGATTTTGTGAATTTAATATTGAGCCGCATTGCTTTTTAAGTTGTGTTCTACTTTCATTTAAAAATGTCACGCAGAAGTCCTGACAAGGCCACGGTCAACATATATCAGTTTGTGAGATTTCTTAGGAGAGTAATATCTCCCTACTAAGCAGGAAATGCGTATTTGGGCTATTTAATCTCTTGATGACATCACAGAACAGAACATTTTTTAAACTCGCACATAATGACTCAACATGTCAATATGGCCTACAAGTAGATAAACTAAATACACACCGTAGGACTTAACGGTTTTACTCATGTGGAAGTTTCCAAGCTTGGAAATTAATGAATGAAAGGGACATAACAGTCACTTTCACTTTGAGAGTCTGTCTGAGTGATAATTTTTATACATTTCACTTAAATTGTTATGCTGGTAATTAATTATTTAGTAAAAAAAAAAAAAAACATTTTCAATTACTTTATATGTGTGCATATACATACATTAGTCAATTCTGTTTTCTGTTTTATTCTATTGCATTTTAATCTCATTATACTTATTGTTTTTATTAACAATATTGAAATCTTTCTTCTTATAGTTTTATTACATTTTCTTACATAATTATTCTTATTTTTTCTAAAAAATACTGTTTGATTATATGCTACGTGGTTGACAAATAAACTTAAAACAGAATCAGAATTAGAATTAGCTTCATTCGCCAGATGTGTGCAAGCACACAAGGAATTGGTCCATCTTGTTCATACTTGTTTAATCGAATAAATAGCAGGTAAATACTTTGAACTTTAGTCAGAATCATGTAAATAAAAAAATCAAGCAACTCTAAGCGTTTTAAACCCTGTCACGTGACTGCAATTTACAATGGGTGGCCACGTTGATTGCCTGAAATGTATTCTTGCTCTAAAATTCCGTAACGACTCTTGTCAACCCCCTTAAATAAAATACACACTTGTAACCACGTAATCTGGTGTTTTTTGTTTTTAGATTTGAAATTACAATCAAATGTGAGTGTTTGTTTCTTAAAACTTTAAAGGCGGCGTGATTAGACACTATATAATCCTTGATTGGGGGCCTTTCTCAGAACCAGTCAGAGATCTGAAGAAATTCGCCACTCTGCGACTGAACAGAGACGTAAGAGAGAGCTCAGAGAAAGTACCCCGAGGTACATTGATTGTTGCAGTCGGACTACAAGCTTAAATTAAGTGATCGAACCCAGTTAGCTGCTGGAATTTGTCCTAATATATGTGAGCTTTAGTGTATTGACGCGCTTTTTTTATGTACGTTGTGCAGCTTTATGAGTGGGGATAAGTTTCCTAGCCTGCTAACCCGGCTCACTAGCCTATAAATAAACAAACACGGATTTTTTTTTTATTGAAGTTTTTCGCTCTCACGAAAAAAACCCAAAGGAGAAACCAGCCAAAAGTGTAATTTAAAAGCAGAAACGGTGCAAATAGAGCCGTTTGTCCATAAGAACCGAAGTAAATAGTCGGCGTCGGCTTGTTGAGTTTAGCCAGTTTGCTAATGAAATGCTCCTCTCTGCCAATTAGCGATTAAATATGGAGTGACAAGGGCTATCCGAACCTCCTGTCAAGATTGTCGACAGAGAAACTTTAATTTTAGGCAGAAAGCTTCATCCGCGTCCTGTCTGAAATCTGGACTGACTGTAGCATCTCTTGTACGTTAGTTTGGTATAAGACAGGTAGCCAGAAGCTAACTGAGGTAACGTTATCCAGGCGAGGAGAGAGACGGTGCTGTGACACCGTTTCAAATATCAGGTGGGTTTATCAGTATGTTGAGAAAGGTGCTTGGTTTTTTCAAAACAGACGCGTTCTTCATGTGGGAGATTGTAGCGTAATGTTCCTGCACCAGACTGATTAGTATTCTGTAGTTGGCTTGCTGTATGCCTCGTCATTTGCTAATACAACAGCTACTCGGGAGCCAGACATTTACCTGATGTTAAATCCCTACACCTTTTAATCCTCTTTAAAATATATTCAAGTTACATTTAATTTGAAGTTCTTATAGACTTTACGGGATTTATATACTCCTTGTTAAACTGCCTGCAGCCTGTTTGTACAATCACACTTAATAGCTCAGTGAGTTTGGATTGAATAGCTAGTTTTTGTTTTTTTTGTAGTATTTGAAGACTAATAAACCAAATAAATGTGAATTACGTTGACATGGCAGTTAAACTAATGCTATAGAATTAATTCACAGGTGCCTAGAGTGTCTGATATTGAGGCTTCACTTCAGTTTGACCACCCGCCTGAGTCATGGAGAAGGATGAAAATGGTGAAAACATAGTGGAAACGGTGAAGGACTCAGTAGTGACCTCCGCCTATAGATATACCAAGGTGAGAACAATCACAATCCCTTAAAGGAAACTTCTTTTGAGGAGCAAATCTGCCTTGATCTTTTGATATTACGGTGTGATGTACTTTGAACACATGGTGTAACGTTTAGAGCTTTAAATGGCCATAGCACATAAAAGACCATGTTTGAAGCCTATTAAAGCAGGCTTTAATGTCATGATTAAGTGGAACCACAAAAATAGATACTGATTTTTCATTTCATGTCAATTTCAAGGGTGCTTTAAGACTTCATTTAAATGGATTGCTTAGAATCTGAGCAATTTGTTTGCCATCAGAGCAGCAGCTGCTTACTCTTGTTGCTACGTAACAATGTTTTTTTTTTCTGTTTTAAAAAAAAAATTTTTAATCTTATTCATGATTCATTACCAATACCAAAATCCTATTTTTAACCCCTTTTTTTTAAAAATACGGTTTTATTAAATTAAGTTTAGTAGAATTGCAGTGAATTGAAAACTTAACATTCAATTCAAGTTTATTTTTGTACAGCGCTTTTCACGATACAAATCATTGCAAAGGAACTTTACAGCAAATTAAGTTTTTACAATATTTAGTGGTAGCTTATCAGTGGTGACTGTCAATGTACATATTAACATTGTAACATTGAATTAATCTTGACGTGCATGTTTAATTGGATAAATAGCAGGAAAACCCTTAACTTTAGTCAATACCTATAAGTAAAAATCAAGCAACACAGATTGTAAATTGTAGTCATGTGACAGGATTTAAAACAATGTGTGATTGATTGGCATTGCGCATTTATTTCCTGAAACAATGAACATTAGATGATGGCAAAATGCATAGTGTTGCTTGCCTCACTTTTATTCTTTGATTTTGAACATTTGGTATTGGTAACATTAGGAAAAAAATAGATCATTAAAATCAGGAAAGAAAAGAAATAATAATAAAAAAATACAAAAAGATCACATACCCTGACCTAGAGGTTACATCTAGCCACAGAGAATTAACATCCAAAAAGGGTAACCAAATTCTTGAAAATTTAACCATGGAACCTCGAGACTGCATTTAAGTTTTTCCAATTTAACAAAGAACGAGGCATATTTTATCCACTGAGTATGGGAGGGGGGTGAGGACTTTTCCAATGCATCAAAATACAGCGCCTTGCTAGTAGTGAAAGAAAAGCTACTAACTCAGCCAAATAAAATGGCAATTCGCAATCGGGAGGTAAAACTCAGAACAGGCCAGTTAATGGAGAAGAATAAATGTTAATAATAATAATAATAATAATAATAATAATCCACACAGACCACAGGGTGAGCACCCGCTGCTGGCCTCACTAACACCTATTCCAGCAGCAACCCAGTTTTCCCAGGAGGTCTCCCATCCAGGTACTGACCAGGCTCAGCCCTGCTTAGCTTCAGTGGGTAACCAGTCTTGGGCTACAGGGTGATATGGCTGCCGGTCAATAATAGATGTGATAGCTGAGAGTGAAAAAAAGACAGACTCCCAGGGAAAAAAAGACAGACTCCCAGGAAAAAAAAGAAAGAGCAGGACAGGTCCAGAACATGCGAGTTAAATTAGCTGGTTCTACATGACATTTCTCACAACTTGGATCAATGGCTGGGAACATGCAAGCTAGTTTACATTTAGTTGTGAGGTGTTCTGTACAGTTTTACCATGCTGATAATTGTTTGTTTTTGCAGGAAGAGCTTATGGAAATCAAAGAACTGGCAATTTCCAACGAGAGGCCAGAGTGTCTATCAGAGAAATATGACAGGTGAACTTTTTAGTGTTTGTTTGCCAGTTCAGTTTGAATATTCCCTTAGAGTGGGGACTTTGGAGTGAGCAGGGCACGTGCGTGCCATTACGTAGTCGTTTGGAATGCATTTGGCAAAGGGAGCGATGTAATTTCCTCATTATCTTCAGCTGGCATGTTCCCGTGACAACGCAGCATGGTGTCCGTCAGCAGATTCGCTGATGGACACCGGCATAAAAAAATATACATTTTATATTTTAAGTTTTATATATTAGTTTTTATATATTATATAGCATATTTTAAAAACTTTTTAAAATATAAAATGTATGTTTATTTGCAACAGTTATGCTAACAACAATAAAAAGACATTTATGACAGTAAAACAGCGACATCTGCTGAAGGACACTGTGCTGCGTTGTCACGGGAACATGCCTGCTGAAGATAATTAGGAAGTTACGTCGCTCCCTTTGCCAAATGCATTCCAAACGACTACGTAATGGCACGCACGTGCCCTGCTCACTCCAAAGTCCCCACTCTAAGGGAATAGGGATGATCACTTCCATTTGGAATTTCCCCCGTGAACCGTTCGGTACCGATACTCGTACCGGCACACCCCACAGTGGGATTATTGACTCTTGTTGCATATCCTTTTGTATACATAAACATTAAGATTTTAATTGTCTTATTTTAAGGCACCTAGTATTGGCTCTTTAGCACTTAACCGCTGCTTTCCAGTATTAGGCAATCAAAGAATTTATTTACAGCAGTCATTTGTTTGAATACACTTAGTGTGACACTACTGACTTATGCTGTTTTAAATGGACTTATATGGAGAACCTAAGCCTTAAATGTTAACAGTACTGTCTCCTTCATAGTGATGGGGTCTGGGACCCTGAAAAATGGCATGCCTCACTATATCCCTCTTCAGAAAACAGCTGTCCAACAGAAGGATACAAGAAAGATTATGCAGAGGATAGAGTTCCGCTAAAACGCAGAATTGCAGGTAATTGGCCAAGAAGTTTCTGATGTTATTTGACTATCAAAACCTTGTTGCTGAAACAATACCAGAATTAACTTTGTCTTCCCTAGATCCTCGGGAACGTGTAAAAGATGATGATCTTGAGGTGGTTCTTAGTCCACAGCGACGTAGTTTTGGTGGGGGTTGTCAAGTGGCACCCACTGCCCTCCCTCGCCGCCCCATCAGCCCTCTGGAGAACAAAGAGAACGAGTCACTTCGTTTGGGGGGCGCACGTCGCATAGGGAGTGGCCGTATCATTGCATCACGTGTATTTGAGAGGGACGCACGAGTTGACAAGGAGAGGGAGCGAGACCGAGAACGTGAATTTAAGGACAAGAGATTTAGGGTATTGTGATAAGGGTTTGATACAAAGGAACTTTTTGCTATTATTGTATTGTTCAAAGAATAAAACGTTATTTTTTTCTGTGTTCTACTGTAGAGAGACTTTGGAGACAAAAGAGTGTTCAGTGAGAGAAGAAGAAATGATTCCTATGCTGAAGAGGAGCCAGAGTGGTTCTCTGGTGGGCCCACTAGTCAGTCAGAGACCATTGAGCTCATTGGCTTTGATGACAAGATCTTTGAGGATGACAAGCGGAGGACCAAGCGTTCCAGGAAGAAGCCAGAGTCTGTTAAAGAAGGCATGTATTGTACAAATGCAAACACCTAAGAAATGCTTCTGTTGTTGGATCAGTGCATTTATCAGCATGCTTTTTCAATCTTCCACACCTACAGTTGAATGTAATGGTGGGCTCTCTGAAGACCCTGAAGTAGTTCAACAGTCAGGAGCTGACCAAGAGGTTCCACATGCCGAGGTTCTTCCTGAGCAAACCCCTGGAGAATTTGACTTCAATGAGTTTTTCAATCTTGAAAAGACCATGCCTGGCCTGGCTTCGGTAAGATATGGGGAGCACTGCATGCTTGTAAGGGTGATGGTCACCAAATATCTGGCTTGTCTTAAAGGGATATTTCACACCTAAGGTTTTTTTTATTTATTTTTTTTGAAATGTTTGGTTCATGTGGTTATTAGGTACGTTTTGGGCAGTTATTAATCTATAATTAACGCAAGCCTTTTAAAGAAATTTTTTTTTTTTACTCCGCTCTGTAAGTTTGCTGTGCTCTTTTTACGTTTGTACCTCTTTAGTAGTTGTCATTTTCTGTACCGATTTGTATTGCAGCACTACTGATGCCTCCTAATACGTTTCTCTAATGAATCGATTGTCTCTGGATGCATGTACCTACTAAGTGAATGTAACACTAGAGGTAGTTATGTGTTTGTTATTGCAGAATAGTTCAGCAAGCCTGTTTGAGGTTCATATGTTGCTGCTCATGTCTGGTGTTCTAAATATGATATGACATTGTTGGTTTTGCAGTTGTGTGGCGTCAAGCTATTTGTTGGTTTTGAATTGTTATACAGAAAGCTCAATGGAATGCAAATTTATGCCCATCTGATTTGTAAAGATTATATTGATGCTGTTGAAACTGGGGATGAGGATTGATTGGGGAGGGGGGGTTATGCACATCTACGTTGTGCCCATTTTTAATGTAGTTTTAAGAAATATGTGGGGATCTTGTAAATGAAACTATTCTCCAAAATGCCCACTTTTCACCCTATTGTGCTAAGCAGTCTGCAGACACTCTTCACGTAAGTGTCATCCACTCCCCATGGCTGTTTCCTGCTGCTGTGTTATAACGGTTTAAACCAGGGTTCCTCTCTCTTTCCTTCCAGATGATTGAAGATGTTCTTGCTGAGGGTCCGGTCATGGCCAGTCGTTTCAGCCGCTGGTTCTCCAGTAACAGAAGTCCCTCTGGCAGCCGCTCCAGCAGTCTACGTTCCACACCGCATGAGGAGTTGGAGAGACTAGCAGGTTATCCTTTCCTATTCCAGTCTATTCACCTGGTTTGGTTTCAAGGTTGCCCACGTAGCTTTGAAATAGGCATACACAAACTTGCAAATTTAAATTAAAAACTAGAGTCTGTTACTGTTATTCTTGTTTTTCATATTTGAACTCATCAGCTTAGCTTTTTAATTTTATTGTTTATATAAGCCTTTTGACAAATTGTCAAGGAGCTGTAAAAACGGTTACACTCATTAAGTGAATGAATCACGTTTGTGCTGAAATCTTATTACAAAGCAAAAACAAACACTTTCCTTCGATCCATGAACACTTCTGTTAATGTACACGATCTCACAATCTGAAGTGTCTGTCATAGCAAATCAACACATGCTGTTGTGAATAATTAAGCGATGTGTCTTCTCATTGGATAAGAACACGCAGTCTCATCAATTTAATAGACACTGACGCGTCATCGATGTACTATAGTCCTTTGCCACGTCACAAATTGTGACATCAACACGATGTAGATTTTAAACCCGGAAGATGAAAATGGCGCAAAAAAGCTTAAAATTAACCAGTTTTTTCCAACAATTAAAATTAACGGATGGATGCTAACATTGTCTTCTATGATGTGCAACACCAACACCTCAGAAATCTCAGAAAAAGTAGTATGGGGTTTCATGACCCTTTAAATCGATTCATTTACACCCCAACAAAGAGCTGCAAAAGCTATTTAATATTACATGTTAACTATTTAGTTCAGTTGCTTTTTTTTAAGACCGAAAAATGTGTAATTTTTAGATGTACTGACAATTTACCATAAATATTTCTTCCCAGCCAAGAAACTGCATTTTGCGTAGATAATAAAGGTTCCCATCCTGTGGCTAAAGGAATTATTGCATTTATTTAACTGTTTATCCTTGTCTGTTTCCTATATATACATGCTATTTCCTATATACATTTCCTATATGTATACGTTACCATTCTAAAGTCTCCTATGCTCAAAGTAAAAAAAAGAAGAAAAAAAAAAGCTATATTCTGAAAATATTAAATAAAACTTACTGATCCTTTTGAATGGTAATGTAAATGCTACCTACCTCTGATGGAAAAGTGAATGTAAATGTGTAATATGTAAAAAATGACATACACAATTATATTGTGTGCCATTTTGGCATATATATATATATATATATTAGTATGCACTGATGCATCAGCCACTATA